AGGCGTCACAACTTCTACACGGCCGACCCTACCCACATCACGGAAGTGGTGGCTCGTCTTTGGATCGTGAGCGAGTTACCGTATTGGAGACCCGCTTGCGGGAATCAGAACGAAGGGTGGCATCCGGAAGAGGACATAAAAAGGATGTCATGGATCTGCAGGACGGAACACTGGCGGTGTGGCGCCGCCCGGGTGCACTGGATGTCGAAGGCCATGTGGTGAAGGTGCAGACGGTGGTCGTCTAAAGCTGTCCTCATGTCTACTCGGGCAAGGGTGTTCTATCCGGCTTCGACGGCTCGGCTCATCTCCCTGCGATACCACAGCAGTTTCATCTTTTCACTTGGGGATCAGGCGTGGACCGTGCCCGAGCTACTCCGGTGGTTGAAGGCACTGTGGACCCTGCTAAACTAAAAAGATTGGGACTGTGTACTGGTTTTTGTTGGGTTACGGCAGTAGACATGCTAGGCTTGTATGCGGTGCCTTACATCGAGGACCAGGAGGCCGGGGGTCGGGTTCACATACTGGACAGCGAGGATGATCGACGATTTTTCCCGGTATATCTGAATGCCGATGGTGCTTCTCTCATGGCGGAGACACCACCTGAAGGTGCCACCGCCTTTCTGAAATCATCTTCTGAGGTGATGGTTTCATTAAAGCTTACACCTACGAGGTTATTGTCGAAGGATAGCCGCGAGGCCCTTGTGACCCGCGGTATGTGAACGAGTGACGTTGTCGCCAACTGGGGGAGACACTGTCGCGTATGGAGTTATCCTTACGACGATCTAGGCAGCCGCCTCCAACGGTGATCATGTCTGTCGGTGATCGTCTCTGTCTTGACTCCTTTTTTTCTTATAGTTGGTCTTTCCGCCTTGTTGAGTGCCTAACTTGACTCCCAACTATAGCTTATCCAAGACGCAGAGGAGCCTTTGTATATGCGTGCAATTCTGTAAGGGCATAGCTAATGGCTTGAGGGCACAAATAGCTTCAAGAGTGCGAGGTTGTTCACCACTGGTGATTAGTTTGATCAAGTTGACGCTATCTTCTGTATCTCCTAGTCTGAGGCTGGCAGTTCTCATTCTCTTGCTTCCGGTCAGCACCTCGCTATCATGTGGTTCACCGCTGGGACTCTTCACCTCATCGTTATGGCTCAGACTATCGCCAGAGGATCGGGTCGAGAATATCAACTAGAGAATATCGACCAGGCCTTCCAAAACTTCATGAGAGAGTGAGATGATCCATTCCCTTCAGCCTCCAGCTCTTCCATCGCCTATCGCAATTTTTGAAGATACAATAAGAAGTATGAGACGGATGAGCAGTACCAGGTTGCAAAGGCTGCTTTTGCAGAAAGCATGCGAGAGATAGAGGAGTTGAGAGCAAATGGTTGGCGGCGAAAGCTTATGTCCCCTCATGTTTATTATCCAGGCGATATAACTCATGAGGTCGGGCTCAATGAATATGCCGATTTACCATCCGAAGTATTCGATAAAGCGTTCCAGTGCGCTACAGATCCGCAGTTTAAAGAAAACCTGCGCTCAGTCACTGCGACTTGTAGTATCACCTTGCTCTTGCTCTACTGAAGCAGGAAGATTCCTTCAGACCCACAAGACAAGATAGCAGCTCCTCCCCCGTCGGTTGACTGGGAAGCCGCTGGTGCTTTGGCTCCAGTCAGGGATCAATCGACTCGGCTGAACAAATGTGGCGCCTGTTATGCCATCGGCGCTACAGGTAAGCCTCCGATGGCTTTCCATACTAATTTAGGGGAGACTTTGGTGCCGATCATCATCACAACCGTTGGTGTCTCTTCAGTTGTTTTGGAGAGCCGTTTCAAGATTCAGACCGGCATTGCTCAAGTGGTTCCGTTCTCAGTTCAACAAATAGTTGATTGTAGTAGAGCCTACAAAAATGAGTGAGACAACATTCAGTTATTCGCCTGAACCACGTTATCCTCTCATGACCTGATTCTACCTTCAGAGGTTGCGATGGAGGTACCGCTAAGTGGTCATATCTGTACACGAAGGATAGTGGTATAGTGCGAGCCAGGAGCTACCCCTATAAGGCTAAGGTTGGTGCGTGTAAGAACTCCGTCGCTAGAGATCCAAACCTGAAGTGTCTCAAGGTGAGTATCCCTCGATAACGCGATTCAGTGCTGGTTGTTGTTATCAGTATGGTGTTATCGATAGAATCGTTAACGTACCAGCGGCCAACGAGGCTCTCATGATGCAAGCTGTAGCTACCGGGCCAGTGGCGGTTAGTCTGTGTGCTTTCGCCCCGCCATTCAAGCATTACAAAGGCGGGATTATCACAGGTGAAATTAGTCTCACCTAGGAGCGAATCATGTCTCCGTTCAACTTTGTAGCCAAGACCTGCGGAGTGTCTACCCCGACCCATACGGTAACTATCGTTGGTTACAACACTTCATCGGATGGAATTCGGTGAGATCAAAGTATCAAAGTAGCACCCGGTGTTCATTCGCCTACATGCTAGGTATTGGAAAATTCTGAACTCCTGGGGGAAGTCTTGGGGAATGAAAGGCTTTGCTTACATCGAACGAACCGGCAACGAGCCCGGTAAGTTTCAGTGGAAACTGCGGCGCGGTCGTGTCCATTACTGTTAGGAGCAGTCTGCTAGGAGCAGTCACTGCTTCTACCATTGTGACTATGTACGGTTCATCTGTAGTTAAAAGATTATCTATAGGTCCATGTAATATCCTCTCTCTCGACGAAGTTTACCCCACCTTCTCCTCTATGGTCAAGAGCTCTCCTTGCGCTGGAACTCGTTGAAGGTGCTTCATGTGAGAAAAATCGGGCCGAGAATTTTCTTGAGTTTGATGCGACGCGTCATTGAGCAATTCTATGATGCTGATACCCATTCCTTATCATGTTGTTACAGAATGTTACAAATATTCGTATGAGTTATCATGGAGCCAATCCACACAATCGAGGACTGTGTTCGTTTGAGACAATATCAGTCTCAAGATAGAGCTTCACTCTCATTGTTTTTCATTGGTCCGCACAAGCCGGATATATGTTGAATGGCTGGTGCTCTATACTCGACACAAGTTGAGTTGAAAGTTCAAAAATCACAGAAGCAAGATTTTCTTAGGCTTATGTATCATAGATATCTTCGTCCCGAAGCTTCCCCCGAAGCTTTCGAGGGACATTAGTCGGCTCTACTCAGAGAATGAGGGGGTACCATTGTAGCCTGCATTATACAGGCTGCATAAGACAATTGAATTCTCTGAGACGCTTCTAGTCTGTCGCGACATTGAAATGAGACCTCAATCAGAGCATGGTTCACATAACTGAAGAGATATTTGGTCCTAGACCGACTCCAACACTGTATGATGCATCTACACCTTGAAACGGGTCGAGCTCGTCGGAACGGGTGAAGTTAGAAATACAAACCCGAGAAGGTAACTTCATATTTGCATTCAGAACTTCCACATTTGCCACAGAATATTCGAACACTTCGAACCAAGGCTTGGTCACCAGGCTTGTCCGAGGCCGATAGAAAGCTCGAGTTCATATTACTAGAACTCTCAGTTCCGTCGTGCACATGAAACTCCTCGATTTCATCCTTCCAGGGAAATCGATTCCGTTGTTGGGAACTTCAGTTTTGTGCTTGGGAGGCAACTATGCTCACCCGTGGGGTCGTTCGAGACCCCAGGATCCGTTGACGTAGACTTATAACACTAGCCAGAGCGTTACTATTTGAAGGAATACACTCAATACACAGGCAACAGAGCAGCTCCTTACTATCCACAGCTAGAAGGAGGAACAAATTGGGCAGACAGATTCCACAGCGTACGACTATTGGACGATCGAGTGATCAACTATGCAGTAGTGATGAGTGTCTTTTGCGCTCGGTTCTGCATCCAAGATTCGTTTTTTCTTTCGGAAGTCAACCATGCATTGACTGGGACCAACTGGCACCCGTCGTCCGAAACTCTCCTTGCTCACGTCAATCTCGGGGAGGAGGGTATTATTGTTGATGGTACAGGCAGCAGAGCTGCCGCAGCTATGATCTGTGGTCTTAAAATCGCATGAGCATGGCAGCGATTGGGATCGTATGAACATGGCTACATTGAAAGATCTAGATCCTCACCTTGTCGTCAGGAGCACAATGATCGACCGACGGATATGTGCTCAGGGCCCCTGAGTCAGGGGAATACAATTCGGTACCAGAAAGTCCACGGTCGAGTCAGTAGCAGTGTCGAATGTCAGGTTTTTATGTGACGAATCAGTGTGACAGAGTAATATTTATTATTCTCGAGAAATCAAGTGATCAGCTGATCAGGCAATCAAAACGGACGGCAAGGCTTATACAGCAGCTAGCGATCATCTGGAGATGGGTAGCTCAGTGCTCGAAAAAATGACAGCGAGTTGAATTGCGCGAGTTGAGGCTTTGATAATGATAGCTTGTACTCAGTTATGGTCGCCATCTCTCTAACTCCCCAAAAATGTTCCAAATACAAGACTCCACCCGTACCCCTGAATGACGAGCAAAACCGAGCTCGTTATCGAGTAAAAAGTATGTGGGCATGTACAACCATGGGATAATCGACAGCTGACCGGTGATCGCCAGAGAAGATCAACACTTTATCAGTACCCCTTTGCTTCACATAACCACCTCCAAATGCCTGCTCGTATTATTGATGAGAGTATCTCCGTCGGTCTTAGAATAAATTTCCTTCAATCGCTCCACGGATGCTCCTTTGTTCAGGCAGTGACCTTCTGTGGTAGCTGCCGAACGTAAGCGACTCTTCAGGATCGCAAAGGATGTTTCTATGCATGCCGAGACTGGACTTCTCGGAAAGCGCAAAAATGAGCACTCAGCAGCACCGAGAACCATCCCACAGAAAACCGTCTTAGAAGCGCTATAATTATCGGCTGATAGAGTCTTGCGGACACCGTGATTTTGTCTATTTCTTTTCTTCAGTAGCGGGATAGCCACAGTATGGTAAAACGACTCGTGCGATTTGACCGAGTTACTCTCTATTGCCGTTATTATTGGGCGCTCTCCCCAGGCTAACACCCGAACAAATTTGAGTTTTTTACTCAATCTGAAGGCACTGCGCGTTGGTGCTGCATAGCAATGGTCCCACATCCTCTCCTTGGTATCAGCTCGAGATCCCTCTGCATCGAATCCTATCGTCACCCCATCCATGTACAACCCGATCCAATATCAAAAAACCGCTGATTTCCTATTCCTATCACCCTGGCATGCCTGCTTTATTGCCGAGGCCCATTTTTTCTGACGATCACCTCGACGCTGCAAAACCCGTTGCGTAGTGCGGCGACATCGCCGCGGTGGCGATGAGGTGTGT